TATTACACGTTTAGATCCACAATCAATGGTCGCATAATATTTGGACAACCAGTCCATACCCAAAATAAAATCAAAGTGAGTCATGTTTAAGGGCAATAAATCAACATATAGTGTAGCGTTCTCAAGTAAAATTTCACAAGCAAGGTAATAGATTGAACATAGCATAGACCCTCCTAACGATGATGACACATATAATATATATTTCAAAGTTTCCAACGGTCTATTCAAGCTAGAAACAAATCGCATAGAGACAAAAGAGTGGGTAGACCCTAAATCAATCAAAACATATGCATACTGCCCACAAATTGAGAGTGTACCAAAGACTACAATTTTTGTACTTTGAGTGTCCCCTGGTACAAGAGCAAAAACCATTCCTTGTCTCTGATTATTCCGTGTTACAACCAGAGTTGCATCAGCCCTTACATTTGGCACTGATGCAGTTGAGCTTGCAGCACCTTGATTGTTATGTTGCCGTGATTGCAGACATTCCCTTGCTATGTGTCCTTTCTTTCCACACTTAAAACAAGCCCCGGTGATTCGATAAAACAAACCCCAGTTCTTTTTTCTACAGTCTGAACAAACTGGTGCTGAATTATCAGTCCAATTAGAGCTGCTAAAATTTCCTGACTTCGCCTTCTTGGCCATTGTTGAAGTTGCCACTTTGTTCACATTCAAATTCTGCCTTTTACCTCTCCACTCAAAATTTTGGTTACAAGTTTCCAACTTTGTCTCTTCCATAAGAGCCTTGTCTAATACATCAACATATTTAGACAGTTTCAAAACATTAATTCTATTAAAAATTGCACCCCGGAGACCTTCAAATTTCTTGGCCTTCTAATAGTCTGTGTCGACCATATGCGGCGCCAACTATGCTAATTTTGTGAACTGGGCCTCTACTACTAATTTGTTCCCCTGCTTCAATTGTTCAAACTCTGTTACCTTTCTATCCTGAATACATTGCGGAAAGTACTTTATTCATAGAAGATCTCTAGGAATTGAGCCCAATTGATTCCCTTGTTAGTGTCTCGTACCAGCATCCACCACTTTCTTGCTTCATCTTCTAAAGTAAAGGCGACTAATAACACTTTCTATGTCTCCATGCATAGAAACACCTCAAATAACTCTCAATCCCCAATACCCATGCCTCTGCTTTTAGCAGATTAATTCCCTCATGAAACAAAGGTGGTTTCATCTTTTTGAACTCTTTGGTGAGGACAATGGTTATGTCTTCATTTTGATGGTTCGGTACCGATGGTACAGGCATTAGAGGTGGGGGTGGTGGTTGGTGTTGCTGCCATTGTCGTTGCTGTCTAAGGCTTTCAGTCATGTCATACATCATTCTCTCTATCCGGTCAAGACAGTTGGAGGTAGACTCCTCCAGTTCATCCCCCCTCGTTCTCACTATTGTCTATATGAAACTTATACCATAACAAATACATTGTATGCACACATACATACATATACACATTTCAAAATAGATATCTCATCTTGTTATTCAAATGCATGTGAATGCAATCTGTAAGTCTTTTCTAGACACTTTATTGCTCAATAGACAAGTGAGTGACATATAACTCCTGCTCTGATACCAAATTGTCACAGCCCGAACCCATTCCTAAAGGTCTAGGTCATGATCGGCCAATAATCTCGGATTACCTCCGGCCTCTCAAACAAATCTATTGAATAATAATAATAAAGGGGCACTATGGAAGCAATATAGAAATATAACATGTTTATTGAGCGGTGCACACATGAAGAATTATACAAATTCAAAACTCCAACTCTTTCATAGATATGGTTACAAAAATACATCATAGCATCTTATCACAACTTGTCCAACCATTCTTATTCCAAACCAAAGATAAACAAAACAAAGAACAAAAGAAACGAAAACAAAGTTCCATGGTTCATAAGGTTAACACACTTGGCTCCGCATGAGACCAAGCTTGCCCCATTATGGAGGCATTCCAAATCAGCTTATAAAGGGTGGACTCTTGAGATCACTCTATGCTTGATGCTCCATATGCTCACCTACATACATATAGGGAAAAGGGGTAAGCTAAAGCCCATTGAGTAATACAAGTATAAAGAGGTTAAATGAATGATCTCTATCATTATGCAAAATCATGTCACATGAGTTCGAATCATATCATAAGTAATTACTTGTCATATCGAAGTTCACAAATCATATTCATATGTGGTATATCCAATAGTGCACGATGGGACCATATAGGTCTACCATACATAGGGACCCCTTTGGTCTACATCAGAGATCTTTGTCATAATGGGCCACGGTGTTGTTTCCCCCGGGTAAGGGTCGTAGGCCGTGGTATTATTTCCCTCAGGCGAGGGCCATAGGCCGTAGCATTGTTTCCCCCGGGCAAGGGCCGTAGGCTATGGTATTGGTACCCCCAGGTGAGGGCTACACTAAGGATGTGGCAATTACATTTCGAAAGAGACAATCTTTCATTGCAACAAAATAACATTTCAAAATAATGAACTTGGGGTGAACCAAAACACGTTTATAACATATCTATACAAAAGTACTACTCACAGTAGACAGGTACTGACGGTAGACCTCGGTTGACCACCTACACAACACATAGCACAAGTACACATTGAAGTACACCTCCAAAACATGTAGCGTATCTTAATTCATTTCTTTTATGTGTGTTTCTAGCTCGTTCCATGATTATGGATGTTTAAATGAGGCTTAAGATTCCCTAAATGGGCATGATGATGCAATTATGCCCTTGAAAATGTTAGGCAAGATTTGCTGAAAATAGGGTATTTGTTGGAGCGCACATTTGGTCGCTCGAGCGGTCCAACAAAATGCAAAGGGTTCACTTAAGCGCACACTTGGTCGCTCGAGCTGTCTGCAAAGACTGTAAAAGTACTGGATGCTTGATTTTTACGCTTGACGATCACTCAAGCCAAGCACTGAACAAAAGTGGGTTCACTCGAGCCAACGGCCAAATGTCTGAAAAAGTACTAGATGCCTTCGTTTTTCGATTGAGCGACAGATCCTTTACTCGAGCGAACTGGACGAATTTTGGATTTTCTAGATTTGTGTTTGAAGTTTAAAAACATACCATTCAAGTTCAAAGCTTGCATGGTTGGTCTCAAAATCTTAGACACTCATTACAAAACATGAATTGTTGGAAATTATGGAACCATGATTTCAAATACTCTTCAATTCTTCAAAACAAAGCTCAAATATCTTGTTTGAAACATGTTTGTATCAAATTCAACTATTTTCTTTCTAAAACATGTATAAATGGAATGTTGAGTGCAAAAACATGAAAAATTTTGAGAAATATATTGAGTGAGGCTCATGCATGCGTGAATTTGACAAAATCAAGTTCAAAAGATGAAGGATTATGCATGCATGTACACAATTCACTTGAATCCACTAAACTCTTGTTGATTATTGCTCAATTCTTTCAATTACATGCAAATGGTCCTACAAAATGGTGAGTTCATCTTCCTACATGGATTAATTTCATGAATTATAGGTAAGAATCATACCTAGAGCTTGACTTAGACCTTAGTTAAGCTAAATCTCCTTTATTCTTCTTAAACTCCCCTGAAATCTCCTCTCTCTCTTTCTCTCTCTACAATGTTGAGCTCACTATCTCTATCTCTAAATTTCAGCTCAAAGTTGTTGTAAGAATGAAGTCTACGCATTCTTAATAAATATATATAGGGTGAATAAGGCTTCACTAATCACACATGATTAAGACTAATCAATTAGGCTTGAGTTTAGACAATTATAATTAATTTATTTTAATTATTTTGATTCGAATCAAATTTTAATTAAACTTATCGTATGATTCTAAACATTCCAACTAGCCTATTGAGTTAACCAATTTTGGTTTCTGAGTCCGTTTGGGCTTTCAATTTCACTTCTATGTTAACATTTAAACATATAATTCATCAACAACAGATAATCATCAAATAAACACATAATCATGCAAATATTGTAAAATATTTCAGCATTTAATTTCTAATTGAAATGTAGAATTTCAGCTCTGAAGTGCCGAATGATTTTTTCTTTCTTTCTTCTTTTCTTATGAATAAAGTGAAGTTGCTATTTGAACTGTTATTATAGAGCATAAGAGGGCTACTGCTATGAATACTTTAAATTGTCAACTATTTCAATAGGCAACAGAAGAAATCAAGTTGCAGTCTATCTTCATCAACTAAGATTAGTTCTCCATTTCACCATATATTTTTTTTAATTCTTTTATTGAGGTGAGTGTAAGCAAACACTTCATCTTACAGTTTGGTGCTCTTGATTAGTAAAAGAAGGTCGAACAGAGACATAGGCCTAAGACAATTTTATACTACTAATATGATAATGCCACCACCTTGTTCATATTGTTCAAATATACATAGAAGTTATTCTAATTTGGGTTGTCTTTACAATTTAGGTTTTGTGGCTCAAAAACTATGGCATTGTGTTGTGGTCTAACACTATTCCAAACAATGTTGTGAACTTTGTATGAGCTTGCTAATTGCTCCCAACCAAATAGTTCGTATTTGAATATTGTTCTGTACCCTTTAGTTGAAGTCTAGTGGTGCACATGAAATGAATACTTGACCTTAGAGAATGTGTTGAACTTCTAATATTAGCATAAACTGACGAGGGGAATGGCTATTAATTCACACAACCACTCAAGTATTTGCTTTTGCATTTTATGAATTTTGTTATCATCACTGCCAGTTGATTATTATGCCTTTGTTAACCAGGAAATGAGTTACAAAAGTGAGATTGTTCCCTATATCTATAGTTGTTTCCTTTAGTGTTCTATTCTCTTATGATAAATTGATGACTCGTAATCATTTTGCGGACATCCTAGCATAACTTTGAACTATGCTTATCTAATGTTATTGTTATATTGGTAGATGACTACAATTTGATTGTTTCATTGCATTTTTATTAGAGTGTTTTTCACCATAAATGCTCTATTGGGCTGATGAGAACAATTTTCCTTATCCAGATGGATGTCGGTTCCAATCAACGTCGATTAGTAACAGCTTTGAATAGAAGACTCCGTGAATTAGAGAATGCTAAATGTGGACGTGGACGTAGACGTAGACGTAGATATGGACCTACTCAAGTGCATAATGATGATGCATACATTGCCATAGATGATAATCCTATACATGATGCACCAACTATGGATGATATTGCTATATTGGTGATGATATTGATATTGTTGATGAAGATATCCTTACTAATCCATTTCTAGGAGGGCCAATGAATCCATCAATCCATAAAAGTTTTAAAAGTCATGTTGCTACAACTATAGATGCTACATTTGTAAACATTGTGAAGCTATCAGGGCTTGCACATTTAGCTCATTGCATATATTGCTTCGTCAACAAAATTGTTGTATCCAGTTTTATTGAGTGACGGCAATCAGAGACAAACACCTTCTATTTGACTGTTAGAGAAATAACTATCATATTGGACTATGTCACCACTATCCTAGGGCTTCCTATTATAGGCAAATCTATTAGCGTGCGTAAGTTGTCAGAAAGGAGGGCCATTGCATTAGTAGTTTATATCTTGGGAATTGATGAGCAAGAGGTGAGACGTGAGATATCTAGTGCTGGGGGCAATTCAGTGAGACTTGAGTGGTTGAGGGCAAACTTTCATAATATTATGGATGATGATTCAGTGGAAAGAATTATATGTGTAGGTAGAGAGCATACTTGCTATTTTTGTTGGGTTCTACAATTTTTAGTGACAAGATTGGTACTAGGGTCCCGATTTTTATTTAAGTTTGTTGTTTGATTTGACGATCGTACCTTCATATGCTTGGATACTGCTGTATTGGAATACTTATATACACAGTTGGGATACACCAGCAGGTCCATGTGAAACAAATAGCCAATTATATGAAGCTCATTGAGGGTTAGTTTTATGAGCACTTTTGTGGATTCCGACCACACTTGAATATGAATTACACTCAAGATATGCCACATGTTTACCGTTGGACTTCTTGGAGAGAGTCTGGTGAAGAGACGCAATTGCAGGCTTTTCGAAAGGAGCATGATAGGTTGGATGTACACGATGTAAGTTAAAAATTCATTCAAAATTGAAACTCCATTTCATAAAAAATTTCCAGTTGCTATTATTTGTAGGTTATTTGGGACCCCTATCAGAGTTGCAAAGATTTCCATCTGTATCACCTAGTTACATTCTACCATGGTTGCCTGAAGTGTTTGGAAGTAGTTGAACCATATCACCCTGATGGAGTTTTGAGACAGTTTAGCAGAGTGTAGACAATCCTAAATCCACCACTTGGCCCTATACGTGCTTCTTGAGGAGCTACAACTCCATGCTACAATGTTATGTATAGTACACCAGTACGGCAGTCTTGGGATTGTGTTCCTGGTTACATGGATTAGTACCAAACTATTACCTATATACATGTTCAAAACCCAACGCGTCGTTCTCAGATAGACCTAGACATTCATCATTATCATTATCCTATCCAAGACGCACAAATATCAATGTTTTCTTTTATATTACAAATTATTTATATAAAATGTTATAGGTTTGTATATAATCTGTTACTTGTTTTCGTAATCTAGCGTATGTCATAGATATATCAGATTACTTATCCTTTTGTTGAGGTTGGCTATGAGGACTATCACGACCCGAACCTGCCCCTAGAGGTTTGAATCATAATCAGCTAGTAATCATGAGATTACCTACGACCTCAAACATAATACAAACATATTTAATAATAAGGGGGGCTAGAAGTGGAAGCAAACTAACAAACTTTGTCCAATGAGCTTGTGCATTCAGGAAAAGAAACAGAGAAAACCGAGTCTGGTTCGCGAACCGAGGCAAGGTACAAAAGAAGGTTCGGGAGTTAGGAGGCAGGGCTCACGACCGCGACTCTGAGACTTCTGAACGAGCGCGATATGCAACATCACCAAGAACTCAATTGGTGACGTCTGAGTCTTAAGGTTGGTCAAAAATGGGGTGTCTACAGAAGTGTTTGGAAGTAGTTGAACCATATCACCCTGATGGAGTTTTGGGACAGTTTAGCAGAGTGTAGACAATCCTAAATCCACCACTTGGCCCTATACGTGCTTCTTGAGGAGCTACAACTCCATGCTACAATGTTATGTATAGTACACCAGTACGGCAGTCTTGGGATTGTGTTCCTGGTTACATGGATTAGTACCAAACTATTACCTATATACATGTTCAAAACCCAACGCGTCGTTCTCAGATAGACCTAGACATTCATCATTATCATTATCCTATCCAAGACGCACAAATATCAATGTTTTCTTTTATATTACAAATTATTTATATAAAATGTTATAGGTTTGTATATAATCTGTTACTTGTTTTCGTAATCTAGCGTATGTCATAGATATATCAGATTACTTATCCTTTTGTTGAGGTTGGCTATGAGGACTATCACGACCCGAACCTGCCCCTAGAGGTTTGAATCATAATCAGCTAGTAATCATGAGATTACCTACGACCTCAAACATAATACAAACATATTTAATAATAAGGGGGGCTAGAAGTGGAAGCAAACTAACAAACTTTGTCCAATGAGCTTGTGCATAAATGGCATGAACAAAAACTTCTTATGTATTAATAACTCACACTCATATATACATAAAAGACTCCATATGTTCGAGATCATTTATACATCATTGTCATACAAATACCAAACTTATACACAGACGTGGCCAAGCATGACCAAAAAAAAAAAAAAACAAACAAAACAAACAAAACAATAAAGCAAAAGACAAAAGAAACACAAGCCTCACTCATGAGGTGCTCAAGACAGACTTCACAAAACTCGGTATCATTCACAGGTTAATAAGGCTGGGGTTGGACATCCTATTGCTCATCTACATACATATAAATACAGAGTGAGCTAACGCCCAATGAATAATATCAGAGAAAAGGGTTTACGTGAATGAGTTCTAATAATTGACATAAACATTTCTTTATCATAAGAAATTCATAACGGAATGACCTTGGGTCCAATGTATAACAGATGTACATAATGGAATTGGTCATATCATAACAGAACGACCTTAGGTCCAATCATTTATAACTGTACAATGCCCATTCAGTTAACTCAAAATAGATAATCAAACTTATTAGATGTTCAGAACGACCTTGGAGACTTCACAAAACTCGGTATCATTCACAGGTTAATAAGGCTGGGGTTGGACATCCCATTGCTCATCTACATACATATAAATACAGAGTGAGCTAACGCCTAATAAATAATATAAGAGAAAAGGGTTTACGTGAATGAGTTCTAATAATTGACATAAACGTTTCTTTATCATAAGAAATTCATAACGGAATGACCTTGGGTCCAATGTATAACAGATGTACATAATGGAATTGGTCATATCATAACAGAACGACCTTAGGTCCAATCATTTATAACTGTACAATGCCCATTCGGTTAACTCAAAATATATAATCAAACTTATTAGATGTTCAGAACGACCTTGGGTCCATCTTATCAAATGTACAGAACGACCTTGGGTCCAATTCAGATATACAAAATGACCTTGAGTCCATCATACACATTCGTGTCTCATAAATCACATTTGCAGATATCATATTGATCAAACAGATAGAAACTCATTCACACTTGCAAAATCACAGTTTCGAAAAAACTTACCACATTAGGACATTCAGAAAATAAAGTAAGTAAGAAAATATCTTTACTAAGTTATTACTTATAGTGATTCAGTTGTTGACTCGTCCTTGCGAATGATCCTATATAATTCATAAACATATACGCACATTGAATCATATTGCTTATTCAAATCGTTCTTTAATTTATTCAATTCCCTTAAGCTTATTTCTAACTCTTTAATTCATTTAGGATGTTCAATTCATACCTAAGAATGCCTAGGAGGGAATAAGGATGCATACAGGATCAGAGTATGTCTTTTCAAAATTTGCTAAAACAGAGCACTTCGCTCGAGCGGACCACTTGGTCTGTAAAAGTACTGGATGGTTCGAATCTAGGCTTAATGTTTGCTCAAGCCAAGGTGCAAAATAAAAGGCAGTCGCTCGAGCGGTGACTTGGTCACTCAAGCCAAATGTAATTGTCTGCAAAAATACTGGATGCATGAAATGTGAACTCAAGCGACAGATTGTTCACTCGAGCAGTGAGACAGAATTCTGGAAATTTCAGAACAAAATTGAACTTCAAAACTTGTATTTTCAAAAACACACTCTTGCATGGCTTGTAAACAACTTCTCAAATACTTAAAACTCTTTCAAAAACAAGAATACAAAGCCAATTTGCAAAATCAAAGGTCAAAACTTCAAGAATTCTTTAAAATGAAACCCAAATCATCATGCATGTTGATTTTAATTCCAAATTCTATTCCAAAGCTTCAAAAACATGAAATTCACTTTCAAAACATTGTAATTCATGCATGCATGTACAATTCAACTTTCAAATTCAACATGGACGACCAAATCATGCTAAAAAATGGTGAAACTCAACAAAACTATGCATACATGTATGAATTAACCTCTAATTTTTCATTCTAAGCACAATTCTTACATTTAAACACATAATCTTCTTGAATTCACATATGAAATGACTTAATATCATGAATTAGGGTTCAAAAGATTACCTATGGTCTTCAATTAAGCTAAATTTAGCAAGTTCTAGAGCTTTTACTTCACAATACACAAACCTCTTAGCAAACTCTTCAAGTTCAAGCTCTTCTCTCTCTTTAAAAATTGAGTTTCTCTCTTTGAAACTCTTTATCTTAGAATTTTTGAGTTCAAATTATGATTAAGGGGTCCAAGCTCTTAATTACAACATATATACTTGAGGATTAGATTAGGGTGTTAATCCAGATGGTGAGAAGTAGAATGCTGTCCATTAAGAATTTGCCTAGCTCTGCTAGTGACGGTTGGTTTCTTGACCAATGGAATCTACCAACAACAATATTGAAGCCCCATATTATCAGATATGGGAGGGTTGCTGAGTGATGTGAGTTCCCTATATGTGGGTTGAGTGCTGGTGAGCAATACTGAGTGTTTCGCTTAATGGTTTGGTTTTGTGCAGGGTCTGTTCAGAGTTCATTGTGGATTCATTTATGTATTTGAGGGTTGAGTGATGAGAGAAGTTATAAATTATTCACTTCACATGTGGGTTGAGTGTATTCAGCCACCATATTTTTTGCTAATGTTAATATATATTGTATTTCTTTATCTGCAGGGTAAGGAAGCACAAGTTGAGTGGTGTGAGCCCCTAAATTGTGGGTCGAGTGGAGTGAGATCCTATATTGAGGGCACTATTTCTGTATTAAATTCTAGTAGATTGTATCTTATTTGCTGCAGGTACTTACTCATGGCTGTTC